TTACATGCCCGGGGTGTGACTCCCAATCAGGGCCTTCCCAGTTAGGAATTTTTGATCAGATCACCCCTTAGGTTACCTTTCATAGAACCCCTGAGAAACACCCTGAGAAAGCCCCGGCCCGGCAAAGCCCCGGAGGCGAGCGGGTCCCCAGCCTCTGTGAGAGGCTTGGGGGCGAGGACTGCGGCAGGCGCAGGGCTGCCCCTGGACTCACTGTGCTTGTTGTTGAAGACGCCCACCGACAGCGCGTGCTCCAGGTCCTTCAGCTGGATGTCCTCCCTCCTCCTGCCCGCCCGCCAGAACTCCAGGGCCGTCTTCGTGATGAGGTCCCCGCCTGCGTTGCTGAGTTTGCCCAAGAGACAAAGATTAAAACCACATACTGAGACTTCTGTTCCTGGGGACTGGGGGAGGGAGAAGAGGGTAACGGGGGATAAATGGTGAGGGAGGGAGACTTGACTTGGGGTGGTGAACACAATACAATACAATACACAGATGATGTGTTACAGAATTGTACCCTGAAACCTGTATCATTTTATTAACCAACAATTGGCCCAGTGCATGAAATCGCTTGCAGTAGGCCACCGGCCCATTCCATGGGAGCCGGCGGGAGCGGCAGTGTGCCCGCGGGAGCCACGCCGCTTCTACGGGAGGCAAGAGCGAGGCGCCGCTACTACCCGCAGGAGCCGGGGGGGTGGGGTTGGGGGACTGAGGGGTGCTCCATGCATCTCCAGGTGACTGGTCACACATGCAGCCCTGCCAACCCTCACACACCTCGCTGCACACGCAGCTCCTGATTGGTTGTTACACGTGAGGGCATGATGACCATTTGCATATTAGCCTTTTATTATATAGACTGTCTCCCCAACAAACTCCATGTAAAAAAAAGACTTCTGTGTCTAATCAGGAAACACACCTGCTCTAAGGTTTATACATAACGAAACAATATAACTAAGTCATACTAGAAAAAGAAAACACAGTGCCTGCCCTCAAGGAGCTTACAATCTTTGTTTAGAACCTGCTACCCAACGCCACCACTTTATGTAGAAACATGTGCAGTAATGAAATCGCCTGTTAGCAGCCATATTGAACTCATCTTCTCCTGCCCCCCACATGTAAAAAAAACCAAAAAACTTCTGTGTCTAATGAGGAAACACACCTGCTCTAAAGGTTTATACTTAACCAAAGAATATAACTAAGTCATGCTAGACAAAACAGTGTCTGCCCTACAATCTTTGTTTAGAACCTGCTACCCAACGCCACCACTTTACATAGAAACATGTGCAGTAACGAAATCGCCTGTTAGCAGCCATATTGAACTCATCTTCTCCTGCCCCCCAGTGCCACGCTGATACCAGCAACCCGACAGCAAAAGAAATCAGGAAGTCACTCTTGCCAGGCTGGCACTTCTGTTCCTGGGAAACAGGATGCTGATGGTCGCCGGACCTCATTCCAGCCCCGGGAGGGCGAGGGGCAAGTGTGTCCCGAGAAACCACTTCCCACTCACCTGAGGAAGATGAAGACCGCCTTCCGGTACGACACGCCACCGACCTGCTCATAGTAGTCCAGGAACGGCTTGATGGCGTCGATGAGCCCGGGGTGCAGTTTGTCCATCTCATCAAATATGAACACGGAGCTTGCACAGGCACTCACGTTACCCTGAATCCACCTCTGTAACTGGTCCTGACCATCCAGAAAAGAAATAGGACGTGGAGGCTCAAAGGCTGGGCCAAGGGGTGCAGAAGTGCTCCCCTATCCCTCGTGCTCTCAAAGGGGAAAACAACAACTCTCTGAA